GACGAAGCCTGGCTTGTCGTAATACCCGATATATTGCGAGACTACCAGGCTTTCCACCTGATCTGGCACAGATACTCTGGAAGACTGCATCTGCGGTTACGAGGCTGGAGATCAATATCATATTTACTCGAGGGCCTTTCCTTGGAAAATTTCTAGATTTTGGTAAAGACACCTATTATGTGTGGCTAAGCCCTCCTTTGCAACAGAGGAAGGCCATTGGTACTTTAGTTGCATAGATTTTTGTGGGAGGCCGACGCCCGTAACATAGCTACCAATGCAGTGTTTCAGTAAACAAAATCTTTGGAAGCCACAAAGTCGTGCCTGGGAAAGAAAACCACTAGCAATTACCGCAACAAGGATGAGATGCGTAAATGCCGCAGAACAGCTCACCGCTCCAGCTTCTCTGTCCGCTCTCCGAGGGAAAATCCTCCTGTTGCAAACTCCCTCGAGTGGCTGCGTCCTATTAGATTTCCATTGGAAGCTACGTTGCCGTAATGGGAAGTTATTGCAGGATTGCTCCTTAGCTGAGTGAATGCCGCCGCGGACATTGCAGCCTCTCGCCGCCAATCGCAGCGAGGATTCGCAGCGCTTTGACTGCGGCCGGCCCATTGTGGATGGTCGCTTCAGCTGGGAGTAGCCTTGTGCATTGTACTGCGAACCGCCGCGCCCTCATACACGGCCGGGGTCACTCGTCGGGCTCCGTTCTTTTGGCTAATGAAGTCTAATAGTTTCGGCAATTTGCATTTTGCTCACCCTATATCTTTAATCAGTTCTTGGGGAAATTGTTTTCTGAAATACTTTACAAATAATTCACTCCACTGCACGTTTATAAAATCATAAAAAATCGAGAGGGTTCTAAGTAGTAGATTTTCTATAAGCCAAAGAAACGTGGTCCGCTGTGGACAGAACGTTGTGCTGACCACCTTCATTGATGGACTTATTGCAGCAGTTCGCCCTCTTGCAAAAACATATGGTTTGTCGTTGTAGGCAGTTTGTTTCGATTTCATCCATGTGCACTATTATCTCTTTCGCGAGACGCGTTCTTCAGTGAAACGAAAACGTAACTGAGTTGTTTTATGCATTTTCCCTTGTCGCTTCAGTTTCTCGCGTAGAATATTCCCTCAGATTCACATTAAAGATATTGAAATTTCATTCAGGCGGTATAAACGTCTCCGAGGGCGAAGGGCGGGGAGACAGATGATCGATACAGTACTGTCGCGCATGTTAACCATTTATACCTGGTGGAGGGGTTGAGTGTGACCATCCCCCCCCCTCTCCTCAAACACACACACACACACACGGTGCCGATACATCACTCCTATGTCAATCTGCCTTTGTTCCCACCTCTCGACGTGATGGGTGCGCCTGTCCTCGGGGCCTGGCTGTATTTTAGCCCAACTTCCCGTGGGTTGTATCCAGTGGTGTATCAACTTGTTCTCTGGTCTCTAGCTAATTTGTGGCTTTGCGATACACAACCTGACTTCATGAATGCAAGCAAGCACACATACACACTCACGCACTCACTTATTCACACACCCACTCATTCACTCACTCACTCTATCTCGCACGCACACACACACACACACACACACACACACACACACACACACACACACACACACACACACACACACACACACACACACACACACACACACACTCCACAAAAAAAGAAATGTTGACGAACACGTACAGTTATCTCCATCAAATAGTTTTTACACGATACGACCGGTGACGACATTCCAGGTTCCGGCCTAGAGATACGGGCTTCCTCCAGTAGACATTATCGCTCACGTTGAAGTATCTCGGCCCATCTGGTGACGCGAGAGGCACTGTGCACCCGGAAGGCACCGATGGGAGATAAAGAGCGCGGTCGGGCACTCGAGCGGGCGGGGGGAGGGGGGGGGTTGTAGCGTCGGTGTCCGTAGGTTGAAACATCCTTGTCTTCCTCTCTTCCTTCCTTCCTTCCTTCCTTCCTTCCCGCCGCCCCTCTCTTGCTCTCCTTTTCCTCTCCTTCTCTCCCTCCACTCTTCTCTCTCTTTCCTTCCTTCCCCTCTCTTTCCTCTTTTCTTCCTTCCCCTTCCTCTTCCCCTTCCCCTCTCCCTCTCTCTCCCCTTTCCCTCTCCCCTCTCCGTCTCCCCCTACCCTCTCCCCTCTCCCCTCTCCGTCTCCCCCTACCCTCTCCCCTCTCCCCTCTCCGTCTCCGTCTCCCCCTACCCTCTCCCCTCTCCCTCTCCCCTGTCCCCTGTCCCCTTTCCCTCTCCACTACCTTTTGGCAAAATAAACTGTTTCAATTCCAATCTCGGCAAAAAAGCCAGCACCATGCCTCCCGCCCACATAATTATGATGAGTGGTTTGTGATGATGGTTGACACACAATGCGGGCGGTTGATGATGCCCAGCGGCCTGCATCTCCCCACGCAATGAGGTTATTTATTCGGTGTTATCTTTAATTCAAATGCAATGTGACGCCTGAAGCCCGTAGCGCGCGGTGCAAAGCAGCTCGGGTGAGCCAAGGGAAGTTCCATAAATTGTCCTTAATTGAATTCTGTGCCCTAGATAAAATCTCCGGAGCGTCAGATCTGTAAGGCAGGTGTTTGTGTACAGCGTGAGGGAAAACTTGGAACGGATTTTGTGGTGGTAATGAATACGTTTTTAAGACTTTCGTTGATTATTCGTCACGCTTAGGATAATGTAGGAAATGAAATAGTTTGTACTTGAAATAGCGATAAAAAATACAGTATCTCTGATAACGTTATTCAGAAACCACAAAAAATAGTTTCTCGCACAGAAATGTGACGTGTAACCTGCTGCATGTCAGTGCATCGTGGTAACTGTAAAACTGACGTGATGATGAATTACCAATAATTTGGGGAAAATATTATCTGGAAATTCTGACGTAATAAAACGAGCAAAAGCGGAAAAGGGGAAGATCCTGTGAAAAAAACGCGTTCCATGGAATGTTTGAAATTGACCCCGAAGAATCCGTTGGTGATGGTTATCTCGAGTTTGAGATAAGATTCGGTAACTGGTGTGTGATCTTATCTTACACAGCCCAGTATATTCGTTATCACCCGTGTGTCATGCCTTTCTTCCATACCAGTCAGTCCTGTGAAGCATTCCTTACTGTGTGGTCTGCCCTGATTCTGATCCGTGTTTTCCGGAAAAGGCAGAGATTTTCGGTAATATTTCTTTCGAGTAACTTCAATCAAGATAGGGCATTATTAGTGTTAAAAAAGGCCAGTGCCTTTCACTGGAATGTGTTCGTCGTAATCTTATCGGATTGCAACAGTTTGAAATCGCACATGACCGCTGTGGTGTGCTTATCTCGCCTGATTTTTTCCGCCAAAACACCAGGAAAAAAAAGGCGGCGAGGGAGTCACGGACTGGATGCACAATATCCGAGCATCGGGTAGCCACGCGGCGAGGCAGCTGAGTGGGGAAATTCAGGCGGCTTTGAGGGGGAGGGAGAGAAGCATCTCGCGGAGAGCAGGCAGCATCGAGGCGTGATTGCATAATTCCTCATGCAAGATAATTACTATAATGTATACGTGAGTTCCCGGTAGGAGACATGGAGTCGGAATATGACGTCAGATGGAACTGGTTACGCTGAATGTCAGCTGTCGATTATTCAACATTTAATTTGTCAATAAAACTTCGCCTGTTCACTTTGAAGTTACAAGTGGTAATGGACATTCCTGTGCCCTTCCACATATCTACTGCATAGACATTTCTAAAGGAGTACATAAGGCTTAAAAAATTCCAGTGCTGTTGGCATCTGGTAACCTGGTGGGCGTACATGGGTTCTGCCCGAGATCATGCCTCGGTCTTCGTCAGTCGTTGGGGCGAACAAGTGCGACGAGCCCTGCACCTGGCGCATTTCATACGCATTATCGTGATCTGGTTCTTCTAATGGCGTGAAGTGTGCTTTAGGGCTGAAACTCAGCTGTGTATATCTGTATTTAAGTTTCAATTATTAGCGAAGAGATCCACCTGGAGACACCTGTGTGTTGTAGTGTTGCCGGCATCGTGAAGGTGTAACACTAGCTTAACTGTGTCTCTTTTCTCTTTGGGAGTGAAATCATGTATTTTGCGATGGTTTGAAGGACTGAGTAGTCTGGAAAAATCTGTCATATACAAATGGCTAAGTTTTCTTAGTTCTATTATATAAACTACATACTTGGCAACTGCCCACTTCCCGCTGGTGGTTTAAACGGCGAACAGATCCAGACCAGAAGCCTCCGAGATAGGAAAAGAAATACTCTGGGAAGATGGTTGTATATAATGGCCTTCAGTATCTTGTCAAGGTAATGTGTCCACGTGTTCTACCGGTTTTGAATTCTGAAAAAAAACGGGTTGCACAATACGATTAGGACAGATCGTGTGACTGCGTGGGTTTTGCGAACGGTTGTAGTGGTTGTAGTGGTAGTAGGCTGATACTGGAATATGCGAAGCCGGGCGTCCCGCTGTAACTCGAGAGCAGCATCTGATGTCTGGAGTATCTTCGTTTCTTTATTCTGGCGTGCGCAGGGAAAGATCTAGAATAATTTCTTGCCCTGGGCGGTATGACGTCAAGTGCCCTGGGCAATAACACGCGTTTGCACAGACTTCTTAGTCATGAACCCGCCGGCTGATTTTTTTAGTTGTGCATATTTGTACGAATACAAGTGGAGGTGATGAATATTTTCCTGTATTTCCAGTGTACCAAGTAACATTGTGGGCTATTTATAATGTAAATGATATATTGCATGCCATTAGCATACTAAAGTGGTGGTGTTTTCGCAGAACTCAGTATGTCGTTGTATACATTACGTCAATATATTTGCTGTTCGTTTTGTTCTAGTATATAGGGATTTTGTGCACTAGGGAAATATTGTCTTGAATACTGTTTTATATTACCACTGTATAAATCTGTTGGCTTGTGTATGAATAGTAATAACAATGTGTTTTCCTACTGTGACAAAAGCTCATATAATGACACTATTTATTTTTATTTTTCAGGCGAGCTTGGCAGATGATGGATCAAGCGGGCTGAGAGAAGTGAACCCACGGGCGGTCCGTCGCACACACAGCGACGTGGGCGGCGCTGGAGGGCGTGGCTCGCTGCATTACTCGCGTCAGCTCTCCACCCCGCAACCCATCAAGATAAGGCCCGCCCACAGATTGCCTCAACACACTGCATCCTTGAACAGATCCAAGAGGTAATTTGGCAGTGATAATCTACCTGCTTGGAAAGTAGATAGATTTTTTTCTTTTCTTTTTTAATGTTGTCGACTTTTGTTGTTTTCCATCCCTGGTACACGAAGGTCATACCCCATACTGATGTTTTCTTAAACATATAATCATTTAAATAAAAAAAAAGTAATGGAAACCTTACTTATCCACCTGTTTCCTCGTTTCCAGTCTGAAGAGAAGTAAAGGCTCCTCCCATTTGCGTCGCTCCATTAGTCAACCCTTAGATTTAGACAAGGCCTACGATACCCCCGTGTCGACCCTTCGCAAATGCAGGAGCCCGACGAACACCCCCAGGAGACGGCAGCGAAGACCCTCGGCCGGCAACATCCTCAACGAAGACAACACGACTTCTGAAGATGAGATTGGAATGTCCGACTCTGAAGATTTTAGAACCGATTTGAAGAGAAGTCTGGAAGAGGTTGGTTTCCCGCCATTGCTCAGGATGTCTGAGTTTGTAGGTTGGAATGATCCATATTTAAGAATTCGGTTTGTAATCGAAGTTGGTATATTATTGAATTTGATGATATTGAAGAGAGAGAAATCTTTTAAAAAAGCGAAACCGAAAAAAATTATAGTACTGAAATTTTCTTCCACTTGCAGGATGACGATATGATCATATATGCCGAAGCTCTGTGGGACCATGTCACCCTTGACTGCGAGGAGTTAGTGTTCAAAGCGGGTGACCTTATCACTGTGATAGATTCGAGCGACAAGGACTGGTGGTGGGGACGGATCAGCCATCGAGCAGGGTGGTTCCCGGCGGCGTTTGTCAGGGTAAGGAACAGCTGGTAGTAGCACACAGAAAAAACAACAGTGAAACAGCGATTGTCTTTTGCAAAATATTTGCTTCACGTGATATTTATTAAACATATCAATATGTATTTGTTATATATCAACAGTTACTAGTGAACCAGGAAGAGCACCAAGATACGTCAGGCCACCAGGACACGTCAGCTCGAGGACCAGCACGGAAGCTCAGTATCTCTGGGTTATCTCACGACCAAATTCGCACTAACGTCATTAATGAAATCATTTCGACAGAGCGGGACTTCGTGAAACATTTGCGAGACGTCGTCGAGGTATGGACATTATGCCAATCGTGTAGATAATTGCTTTCGGAGGCTTATTGGTTTATTTACGGTTGCGCATTGTAGGAACCGCGTTCATCTTTTATTTTTTTCTTTCCTCTTATAGGGATACCTCAGACAAGTCCGTAAAAGGCCCGACATGTTCACCGACGAGCGAGTGTCGACGATCTTCGGCAACATGGAGGCGCTGTACCACTTCCAGAGTAACTTCCTAAGAGAACTTGAAATGTGCATCGACTGGCAAGAGCCTTTCAAGTCTTGCATCGGTGCGACCTTCATACGTAACGTAAGTTTTCTCCTCTATATTATAATCTTCATTTTGTTGACTGCATTCGTATAAATGTGTATATGGATGAAATGATTATTACATTTAATTGTCCCCAATCATTAATTAAAATCTGTATTTTTCAGAGAGAGAAATTTGAGATCTACAGTGAATACTGTAATAACCACCCTTCGGCAGTATCATCTTTACAAGAGCTTTACCAAGATCAGAAGTATGTACACTTCTTTGAGGCATGCAGACTACTTCAGGAAATGATTGACATTTCTCTCGATGGATTTCTCTTAACGCCAGTTCAAAAGATCTGCAAATATCCTCTTCAACTTCAAGAATTGTTAAAGTATACAAAGGTAAATTGATATGCAAGCTGCACAAGTTGATTTACATGTGTCAGAGTAAAATATGTGAAATAATAAGATTTATTAACGTTCGTCAAATAACGAAGGCAAAGAACTAATTACCAATGAATTCCAGCCTGACCATCCTGACTACACCAGTGTCCAAGGGGCCTTAGAGGCTATGCGAGATGTGGCTCTCTTAGTGAACGAAAGAAAACGGAGAATGGAATGCTTAGAGAAGATTGCGTCTTGGCAGATCACAGTGGAAGGTTGGGAGGTAAGGAGATATTTACAAGTGTTGTTAGATTCTTTAATACTCACCACGTAATTAATAGAATCTGGAACTCATTTTCAAGCAGTGTAATGTAAGAAATAATGTTTAGTCCTGTTAGTCAGGATGCAGTACAGAACAGGCTTATTGGATATATAAGATATGACATCATATTAGTTCAGAAATTAATAATTCCTGTTTTTCTCAAGGGACCGGAGCTCCTTGAGGACAGTTCACAGCTGATCTACCAAGGAGAAGTTACCAAAGGAGTTGGTGGATCCTGGCCAAAGGAAGTTACCTTATTCCTCTTTGATCATCAGCTTGTGTACTGCAAGCGGGACCTCCTCAAGCGGAACACCTTTGTTTACAGAGGGAGACTCAATCTCGATAATTGTGAGATTGTTGATCTCCCTGATGGGAAGGGTAAGGAGCTAATAGTAATGTGTTACTTCATGATATGAGAGGAATGAATATACTTGGGTTAAACATGCTTTTCAAAATTGCAGACAAAATAAATCTGTATTTCATATTTATTCATATGTGCTCTTCTCCACAGACTCCAGCCTCAACATCAATGTACATAATGGATGGAAGATTCATAGCTTTGAGAAGAATAAGTGGTATGTTTTCTCTTGCAAAACTACTGCAGAAAAACAGAAATGGATGGAGGCATTCAAGTAAGTTTCATAGTGTGAGTTCTTTTATCACACGACAGTCAAATTATTTTGTGGTTTACAGTGATGAATCATTTTCTTAAAAAGTTCTTTTCTCCTATAAAGTATTTTTTATATATCAATTAGTATTTTAGTCTTTAAAACTATGTCTGTTTCTACAAACTTAAATTCGATTCTTCAACAGACGAGAACGGGAACTAGTAGCAGAAGATGAATCAGCAGGATTTGTAGTAGCAGACAAAGCAAAACACTTGGCAAAAGTTGCAGCTCGCAACCAAAAGAATAGGCCAAAGAGACCTCGAAGTAAGTATTTCAATCAGTTCTTCATTTATCAGCCACTGCTCTACATTTCTATTATATTTTTACCCTCCCTACAGGTTTACTCCAGCTCATCTCTGTGGCACATCATTAGTAGCTGCCCTAAGGCAGCTGCTCTTTATGATTATGATGCACATTTCACAACATAGTAATTTCTTAGTGTTTTAGTATTCTTTTCATGCTGTTTCGGTTTTGTTTCTGTTTCTATATTGCAATAGGGTTTATCAGATATCAAGAAATAGATATACAATCTATCCTCTTTCTAAGTAGCAATTTGCACCAGATCACAAAAATCCACATGAAATAGTTTGGTATGTTCTCTCACAGCCACCAAATCGCACAAGCGTGTACAAGCCATGACATACGCTCAGGCTGAACTTCTAGTCAATGTTGATCCTGAAGTACGCTCCAATAGCCTCCCTTCTGGTATTGAGCCACCTGAAGGCAAGAAGAAAGGCAAGTGTAGACAAACCTTGCGGCAAAACTGGACAAAGAGACCTGCTAACAAATACATTGATTGTACATAGTTATGGTGATGGTGGCACTCACACATCCAAGACTCTGATGCTAAATTACATTCATTAAGAAGAGTTTGTACAGCTGATGTACAAGACAAGATGATATACAGCATGTAGCGTCATCATAAAGATTTGATAAACGTGATCATCCCCGACCATTTGTATATAATAAATTGGACCTCTGCTAATTATGACTATTTGTAGTGCTGTACTGACTGATAACTGATTGGTGATGGTGCTTAACTGGAATTATATTTTAAAAACAATGCCCTTAATGAAGCTATAAGCTGATTGGTGTTAAACAAGGCTTTTAGATTCTAATATTTAGCCTAGTTATCCTCTTCCTAGATTATATGTATTTTCTCTTGCTTTTGAGGTGCTTCCTAGACAGTTCTAAAGTTGCAGTTTATATTTTATGTTGCATTTACAAGGTCATGAAAATAATATTGATATTATTTGCTCAAAAATGTGATATTAATCAAATAAATGTCTACTTCAGGTCTGTGGTTCAGCTTTGGAGGTCACAAGAAAGGACGAGGCTCAGGAAGAACTCTCAGCCAGATCCAGCACCACCCTGTGTGAGAGACATCTTTACTCTAAGCAGTGTAAAGTCTTGTCAAGAAAGCTTGAGGAAATCTGCTTTGACTTGAAGTTGAATAATCTGGTTTACTGATAACACATCATCTACAAATTGGCAGTTTTAGATGACACAAATTTTGAGTTACAAACCCAGTAAGGAAGGGTAAAAAATGAAAATAATACTCATTGGCATTTATTTATCTAAGATAGTGCACTGATGATGCTGTTCCTCTGTGCATTATTCAGATGATTATGACCAATGAACTTATTCAAGGTACAGTGACATAATCCAGATTTAACCTCCTTAACAAATAAGGCTTCTTGCTGTGGAAAAATATACTGCTAGGAGCTGTAATAGGAGGAATCTAGTCACATTCAGTTTGCTGTCACAAATCTGGGAGGCAGGGATGCAAGTTGATGGTGAGGATGTATTCAGATAATGAAGGTGATAATTCCTTAAACATATCCCTAATTTATTTATCTATAAGGTGATCATATCAGAGTATAACCATCACCTGCAGGCTTAGGTGATAAACTTTCTTCCAGTTGTGTTTTTGATGTTGTCAGATGTTAAATAACTGGCTGTTTGTTGTCACTGGAGAAAAAGTAATGAAGTGCCATTATTTTTATTAATTATCATTATTATTATCATTATAATTATTAATTATTGTTATTATTATTTTAACAGTTAATTTGGCTGTAACACTTTACAAGTGCTTTTCATTATTTTCAATTTTAGTTCATTTACACAAGACTAAAATATCTTAATATGACCTCCAATGGAGATAAAATAGCTTTACTTAGTAGTCAGTAAAATATATTAAAAGCAACCTTGTCTATCACCTGTATCTATAATTTCTCAGATTCTGTTACTGAAAGTATTTGATGTTGCATCAGAATAAAAATTGTGATAAAAGAGTATGTAGTAATGCCACATTCATCATTATGACGCACATGAATTTTCTTTGTCAGGAGATGTAGTCTTTCAGTTTGGCTATCTAAAGTACAGCATTAATTAAATTTCAGTGTTGAGCAAAAAAGTTGTCCTGTAAAGTGTGTAGCAGTATGGTGTGTCATGGTGTTAATATACCAAATGGTTCAAGCAAGACAAATTTGCTTTATCCTTTACTGATTTAATGCTTGTATATAATTTAACTTTGTTTTCTATTATATATTATAGTTTATCATGTACAGTGATATAAATATATGTATTTGTTGTAAAAATGTATATAGAGACCAAAATATGTTTCTTTGACTGAAATATGTTTTATTTTCCTTTTTGAAAGATTATGCAAGATAGTTATTTATCATAAACTGTATATATATCTTACATTAAAAAAGTGCTCCATTATGAAAATGCAAACTACATGGTTAGAATTCTAAATTTTCCTTTGGATTCAAGAACTGTCTTGCAGAATTTTAATGTTTTTCATAATATGAGTTTTGTGAATACTAAAGAACTACATTTCAAGTCCAATGTGAAAAGGAGATTGTTTGAATTTGAAATTTCATTTCTTCTGACATAATTTTCCTTGGACATTACTTTTATCATATTGAGTTCAGAATTGGTCAAATTCTATATTCTAGAGTATTTTTTTTATTACAATGAAGTGTTCAGAACATTATGTCCTTTAAATGCACTTCAGTCACTTTTCATCTTTGTTCATGTATTACATAGTTACACATATATAAACAAATTTATATCAACTGGCATTCATATCTTTATCATGTCTTTCTATTCTGAATGACCATACTATTGACAGGGCAGATGATTTAAAATACTTTGCATCTGTAAGAAATTGTCTGCACTTTAAGTAATCATAATGGTCAATATCCACAGCTTGAATAATAAAGGTTAATAATGATACTTGATGCTAATGACAATGACGCCAATCATTTTGTTCTACCACCTATTATGCAGGCTTTCTCAATGCTGACAGTACAGCAGTCTCAGTTATTCTAAAAAAAATAATGATCCCATAATAAAGAAAGTAAATGCTTCTATAAAAATGTATCACTATAGTATAACAACCAGATGACTCCTTGGGAAGATGGTATCAAGATACATTGCTGAATAGACCGGATAAATGGTAGCAGTTGAAAGATGTGCTGAAGTGAAAAAGGGTGGATATAGAATAAAAGAATACACAGAGGTATATCCATACATAAATACACTCTTACTAAGCTTATAATTAGCACTTATACGGCTGTGAATTTCATGCACAATTGAAAAACATGGGAGAGGAGTGAGAACAAATTCAATCTTGTGCACCGAGTGTAACAAATAGTAACAAAAGAAATGCACAGGGATACACAAAATAAGAAAAGTGTCAAATTTCTGAGAAAGAGAAATGGGAGGAGTGTAATAGCCCAAATGTGTATTGTGGTACAGTGAAATGAATAGAGAGGGCAAGCAGCAGAATGGAAAAAGTGGAGGGAAGTATTCAGCTTATTGGTGAATAAAGATAGGCTCTAAATGGGAATGAAAACTATGAATTTTGACAATAAATAGGCATCATCATGATGACAATGGCATACACAGAAAGCATGTAAGGTTTAAACATTTTTGCATTTGTTGTTTATAATTCCTTTCAGCACAATGAAGTTTTGTATTGATAAATTTTTTTCCATTAACCATCACATCTCCCCTATCATAGTTTTAGTTTACACAATGTGAAAAATACAAATGGGGCCTGGAACTGTGAAGCTGCAGTATTTGACATTTTACTGATTGTATGAAAATAGTTAATTACCTTTAAAAGCATATTTAGCATTTCCTTGATCTTTTCACCTGCCTTAATTTTTTTGGTTTAATTTGTTTTTGCCTACACTTTATTTCTCACATGTTCATTTTCTAGTATTACTCTGTACTATCACCCCACACTCAAGTGTCCTGACAAAAATATGTAGAAATATCTTATTCTCTTGATCCTATACACTGATGGCTCCAGAAAACATTAGGACTATCAACTTGGGATCAATCATGAAGAGTATAGGTATCCCTCAAGGGTGGTTCATTTCCCATCCTGATAATGTGGTCTATAAAAACATTAAGTTTAATAGCTGTACAATATTGTAGACAAAAAAAATACTATTTCAGTATCTGTTATAGACAGTAATAACATAGTTATGTATTGATGATCTAAAACTACATGTAAAAGTACCTTGATAGCAACAGAGTCTCCAGAGACTTAAAC